CCTGACCTCTCTTTGCTAACTCCCTGAGCTCCCTCCTGATCAGATTAGACCCAAAGGAGTGCAGATGATGTAGTCTGTAGGGGTCACCTTCTGGGGGGACAGAAGCGCCCCAACAGTGGGTAGACAGTTGATCTGGAGAAACCACCAGAGAATGACCAGAACAAATGATTAGTCTCAATAAGGTGGAAGGAAATATACCAGAATAGAGAGTTGGGAAGATGTATAGAGTATGAAACAACGTTCTAGAAGAATGTAACCTTCTCCTTCCAGATTAACACTGACCACAATAAATAAGCCTATGACAAGAGACATGAAATAAGCTACATGATTGGGAAGATCATTCACACATTTGTTCATTCATCAATCATCAAATGGTTATTTGCACTTCTAGGCATCAAGCATGCAAACATGAGTTTGGCTTCTCTATACATTTGAAAATTTTCGTGATAAAATGCTGTAAGAAACAAATAATAGAGGGTCACTGTCCTCAAGAATCTAATAGTCTGGAACAGCAAAGATTCCTGAAGGAACTGACAGCTCAACTGAACTAAGGGGAGAGTCAGAAGATAGGTGGGTGGAAAAAAGATTTCCTGAAAGAGATATTGAGTGAGTATGAAAGATTGCTGGGAAATGAGCTGGTAGAGGGAGAAATACCTAAAGTTCAAGGTTGCATGGCCAGATCTGCATTTTTACAAGATGCCTAAATCACCAGAGCAAAGGGTAGAGCTAAAAACAGAACAAAACAAAACAAAAAACCTAAAAAATGAAATAAAAGAAATATATGTGGGGAGAAAGGTAAGCAGCAGACATTTGTTTCATCTGTAGCCCAAGTGTCCTGCGGTAGTGGAGCAGGTTGAGAAGGGACTGAAAAAAATACAGAGAAGGTCTTTGAAAGTAAAGGTTTATTACGATGTTAACAGGAACAAATAGGTTTAATTGAGACAGCAGAAAATGATAGAGTCTAGAGGTCACAGGCTGGACAGGACAACTGCCTGAAGGCACTCAGATCCAGAGGCAGTGGGCTACACTAGCTAATGCTAGTCTAGGACCCACCCAACGTCCTAAAGTGGGTCAGAAAGGGAAACGCCAGAGGAAACTCCAAGTGTCCAGTGGCAGAAGGTCAGACTGCTGCGCACTCCGTTACTGCAGGGAGAGGGGTTAACAGAGTACACTACACCGAGGTGGATTAGCAGCTTGCTTTGCTCTGCTATATGACCAGTGGTCCAAATAGCAGCTGAGTTAGCATAGAGGCAGGAAGGCAGTTTCTACAGATAATGCTAGTTTGCTCAGTTGCCCGTGTCCCCCCAAAGGACTTATCTGGACATTCTCGGGAAGAATGAACAGGACTCAGAGACTGAATGGCTGTGCTATGTGAGAGAGAAGAGATGCCTTTCTGTTTTGCTTCCTCAACATCCCACCTTGCTTATCTGCTAACACCCCCACCCCACCCCGCCTGCCACTTTCCTTTGACACCAGTGCCCCTACCTGCTTGAGTGGACGCAGTTTCCATGGGACTTCCAGCCATCAGTTCTCTGTTTCCCTGGTCAAAATAATAGTTACATGAGCAAGGCAAGCCAACCAGTGGCACCTGCCTGGGAAATCTTGGAACCGGCACCTAGATCTGGTCTTGGTCTAATCCTTTTGAAGCCCCTCTCTTCACTTTTCTCCTGTAGATTCTGTTATCACCTAAGTCCTTATTTAAAAGTCTTTTTTTTTTTTTCCTTCAGTAAGCTGCAATTATTTTCTACTGTTTGCTACCAGTAAACTTCAACCAATTACTATGGCCACATGAATGGTCGCATTTCATACAGACAGATACAAAACATATAGAGGAGAAAGTTTCAGGTGGGCTTTCTTGGGGAGGGTAGTTTGATTTTGAGCAGCCTGCACAAAAGGAAAGGAAAAAATCTAAAAGTTGGCTGAGGAGGCTTCTGTGGAACTCTGAAAATCACACCACAGAGTACAAAGTTATCTTTGGCACGTAGACATAGAAAGTTCTACCCAGCAGCCTGACCTCCTAAGGACTTAACCAGACTTCTCCAGGGAGGAGGTTAATTCTTCCATGAGGAGACTGACACATTCTAAAGATGCCCCAGAATCAGGCGGGGTAGTGGACCAAGCCTCATTCCCTGCATTGGCAGTCCTGGGTCCTGGCTCTAGATTTCTCACTAATTAGCAGAATGACCTTGTACAAATGCCCACCTTGCTCTGAAACTCTGTTTTATTATTAATAAAATATAAGAGTAGAAGTATATTTGAGGTTCTCAAAGAGTGTTCCAAGAGAATCTTAAGTTAATATGAAAAGGGGTCAGATATGCTGGGAAAGTGAATTCAATGAACCTTAAGCAGGTTTCATTATTTCAGGATGTCTCAGGGCCTTACGTATGCTCATCTGTGATGCAACTCTCCAAGAAAACACAAGGTGACCAGCACTTTTACCTTTTCCCAAGGAATCTTTTTCACTACTCCCCACCACCATGATGAAATACATAGAACGAGTAGTCATCAGAAGGCACTTGTAGAAATGTTGGATTAGGTGCCTTCTAAAGCCACCCAAATGGTGCATGATTCTGTGTACCCAGGTGTTCGCGAACTTCCTCTTTCCCACTTGCCCCTTCTTTAAGGTGACTGGCTCTGAAGGAGCCCTGAGATCTGTTTTAGGGGCTCTCCCAGGAAACAGCACATTTGAATGCTTATGAAGTCACTTACAGATCTGCCCCAGCTCATGAAACCCTCCTGAAGTTTAAATGAAAAACACAGCCCACCACTGTGCTTAGAGCTCAGATCCAGGCCCGGCCTAAAGGGATTGCAAAACATACTCTAGCTTGCATTTATTTGGGAAAACAAAGAAAACTCCACTCTTTTCTGCTCCAGACAGTCTGAGATGCTTTTGTTCCCTTGGGCCCTTGCCCGGTTCTCTCATCTGCATCAGTCCTGGTACTAAATTGGTTCAAGGCTTGGAGGAAAGCTTCAGAGGAAAGAGGGACAAGGATGTTTAGAGTTCTTAAATGCTGAAGTCACCCTCAGGAGCGGAGCCTAGTCCCACTCTGGCCACGAGAGGGCGTTGACAACAGCATCTGGGCAGAAAGCTGTACCCAAAATAACTGCAGTAAACTACACCTAAAGCGTTTAAGAATGACACAGGGGCTGGGGCCTGAGAATGTGCATGCGTGTGTGCCTGTGCATTTAGGCGCCTGGAGATAAGATTTTGAAAACCTGCTAAGGATAATAAAATCTGCACCTCTACTATGTAGTTACAGGATGTAGTCAAGTAGTTGGAAAGTTTCTTGAAGGAAAAGGAGGGTGAAGGAATCAGAATGGCATTCACAGACAAGGAAAAGGAAGGTGCTCTCAGGAGCATAGTGTGTAAGCGTGTGTGTGTGAGCACACATGTGTATGTGTGTGTTAACGACTGTGTCCATGAGTGTGTGTGAAAGTGCGCAGGTTGTGGGTGTAGGCATGAATGTGTGTGTAGACACATACGTACACGGGGCTCATTCACACTTTCCTGGTGTGAGCAGAGCTCAGTCAAGGAAGTCTGGGCAACACTTCCTCCAGTTTCTGCCCTTTCCTTTCAAACAAACAAACACATTCCTACAAGTATTTATGGAGCCTCTGATGCTCCCCTCCCGACCAGCATCTGGAAAAGCTCAGACCGGCAATTTAGATCCGACCAGCATGGCACTGGAGAATGAAAGGAGGTTGGGGAGAGAAGGGACGGATGCCTTGCCCGCGAATGACTGTCTGGCAGAACACTTTCCCTCCTTTGATGCTCCAAGCAGCTCCGGGAGGTGGGTCCAGAAGGGCTGCCACCCCTTGATTTGAGGAACCAAAGGTTCAGGAGTGACAGGATTAGCCCAGCGTCAGCAGACTGGAAGCAGATGTACATAGTGTTGTCAATCCATGGCCAAGTTCTGGATGTCACTCCTCTCGGCAGCACACTGGGCAGTGGGTCTCCGCAAAGCAGGGCAAGCCTTCTCCAGGTAGGATTTCCCAGCCGTGACCTCCACGTCAACCTGCGCAACTTCTAGTGACACGTGTGACTGTGCAGAGCAGTGGTGTTAACAAGTTTTCCAGGAAGCGGCTGTGGGTCCTTTCCACGACTACTACACAGGGTAGGGACAAAGCCTTCCGTGTACCAGGACGCTGGAGTCTGGCATACCTAGTGGCTGTGTGAGTTCAGGGAAGTCACTTCCCTTCTCTGAGGTTTGGGTTTTTATCTATAAAATAAGGGTTATTTAGACACACGTTTGGGTCCGTGATGGGATTGTGTCCAGTCCACTATTAAAGCAATTTTTTTAAAAAGGGCCACAAGTTTCACCAGTCCTCGGCTCCTAGAAGAGAGCAAGTGTCAATGCGTCTTTCTCGGGCCCTGCTGGGGACCCCTTTCCTCCCCTGCTTCCTTCCCTCCAGCTCCTTTACTGCCTCCTCCCTCCTGGCTCTCAGTTGCTCCAGCAAAGTTACCAACTTAGTCGAAATGACGCGCGGCGCAGCCAATGGGAGGCAGAGCTGGCGTTTTTGGGGGGCGGGAGGGGTGGGCCCCGCGTCTCGGGTGTCTGCCCTGCTCAGTGAATGGAGAGAGCGAGCGCCGGCCAGCTCACCCGGCCGCCCCCTGCCCCAGGCGCCGCCGCCGTGCTCGCGAGCCCAGCCCCAAGCCGGACCTCCCTGGG